TATTTCCTCTTTGTGTTGTCACCTTTTGAGTCTTAATTGTCTTTTTAGTTAAATGGTGATGGTTGGGCTTATCTTTTTCTTGGTACTCTCAGTTGCTGCTATAGTTTCAACTGCTGTCTTTGTTTAGATGACTTTCATATCTCCTTTTAACATCCAGCTGAATTTTGTATTGTTGGAATTTATCAGGAAAGTATCACTGCAAATACATTCATATTTTTATTTTTTGCATGTCTAAGCATACTGTAGTTAAGACTAGAATTGTTTTTTTCTTCTTCTGAGTATAAATGAAGGTGAATACATAAAAGGAAGGTGGTTATTTCTTTTCGTACATTATTTGAATGCTTCTGCTTGTGTCTTTATTTATGGAGTGTATCACATTAGTTTTTGCCTTGTATTTTTAAGCTCTACTATATGCTTCATGAGCAGTACAGTGAGGTATCAATACTAAATAATAGTAATTTGCTTGGTGATGTCTTACTCTCTCGTGCTTCTGTTGAGTATAATTTACATGTTTGTGTTTATTTGAATTTTCAGTAAGATGTTTTTGATACGCAAGTGTTCCCATGTTATTCTGTGATAATGACACTGAGTACAGAATGTAAATTTTTCTGTCAGTCATACTGTCTGGATGTCTGTAGCTTTAAACAGTAGAAGTAGGTGTAATAAAAAGGATCTTAATATTTATTTGAAATTTTTATCCAACCTTTCCAAGCTAAAGATCAGTTGGTAAAAGCTAGAAGATCATGTGGAAAAGCATACAAGCAGTGCTACATGAACTCATAAGATTATGACAAGATGCAAGAAGTTTCTGAAGACACCCCCTTGTGCTATTAAATTCAAACCTTTAAAATTAAAATGTGTGCTAGTAAAACACACATTTCAACTGACACTGATTTTCTTGGGAATGTGTTCCATAACTGAAGCACCACTACAGAGAAGGCCCTGTTGTTTATTCTTACAGATATAATTTTCTATAAATCCTAAAGATAGGGCTATTTAGAAAATATTGAAACATGGGGCAGCTTTTGCATATTTTCTTTGCTGTTGCTATGAAATATACTTTGGTCCATTTCTAAATATCTTCTCATTTATTAGTCATTTATTTAGATGATCTCTTCCTTCTCTTCTGGATGCACATATCAGCAATACTCCTTAAATGGCAATATTGAGCCTAGAGAGCCATCTAGTGACTAAGTGTTGAATGCACATTGCAAAAGGTGAAATACAGAATAACAGACAAAAGAAGAAGCTTCCACTCAATCATCTGAAATAGATAACTAATATTATATGTTGCTCATATAAATGCCCCAAACCATTGACTTTTTAGCAAGGAAAGAAAATAGTATCTTCTAAAAACACCAAGCTTGATGTACGGCTTGATGACAAATAAATTTTCTGGGTGTTAGAAGCATCAGTAGGGCATTGCTCAATGTTTGGCATAATATTCTGCTCAATAATCTTCTGCATTGGAACTCAGTATGTAGATGTAGGATATCTGTCATTCCAAAAATATATTGACAACAATATATTGGTTGCATAATTTTGCATCTTTTTACCTTTTCTTTTGACCATTTAAGTATGTGTGGCAATTTTCTTTCTTGGAATATTAAAGGAAGAATGTTTGAAAATACAAGAAGAGAAAGAAAAATGCTGCATAATTAGTAGTGCCTTATTAAAAAAGAAAAGGTGCTGGTGATTACTGGAGAATATATTGCTGAGGGATTTAGATACATTCAAAATATTAGACCTACCTTTGCATGTATGTTTTTAAAAATAAGAAAATATGGATCCCAATGCAACTACTGTACATGTTTCTTGAAACAAAAACCTGTCAGTTTTTTCTTCTTGTGTTACCCTATCAAGAGTATGCATGAGCATAAGTAAAGTGGTAAACCTTTTATTATACTAGAAAGACAAAAAGGAAAAAAATAAAATAAAATGTTGACTGAGGTAGACACATCTATCCAATACTTAATATCATTTTATTTTTCATAGATACTGTAAATAAGTTGACAGTAAGGTTTTTATTCTTGGGTTTATTCTCTGAACAAATACATGGCAGTTTCCCTGCCCTTCCTCTGTGAAGCTTTGAAGTATCATATTTAATGTTCATTGGTTTGGACTGTTCTGTGAAAAGCTGGGAGTGGAACACCATTAAGAGAAATGCAGTCTCTTCTGTATCACACATATTGTGCAAGGCTCTAGCGTTGCACCAGTGATGATAAGAGACAACACAGATTCTTCATATGAGATTTGCTTCAGGTGTACTTGGAATCTAAACAATAAATGGTGATTTGTTTGCAAATGTTATTTCTTTGTTTGCAAAAGTAATAATCTATGTGGGAAGCTAAACATTTGCTGGTTTTGTTGTTGTTAACTTTTACTTTACTGAGTATCTATGATGACAATATCTACGCTGATGATATTTCTACACATTCTTAATCATTCCTGCCTGCTTTGCATTTCATCTTATTAATGTGGTAGTGGCTAAAAACATGTAGGAAGCTGCTTCATAAATACCATGGTCATTTAGGCAGCATTTGCTGCTGAAGCTATAGAGGAGTCCAAAGGCACTAAAGATGTTATAAGATGGAAATATGGCAAAAAATAAAAGTGTGGTACCAAAAGATCTGATTCTTGAAGAATATCAGATATAGTTTGCTGATTAGCCATCTGATTCAGTTAAAAACTACTAGAAGATACAGTACATAAGAGATACCAGCTCTTTATGCTGGACAAATAATGTTAAAGTTAATAATGCGGCATAAAAATTTCAATGGTAGAAAGCAAAGGATGTGCCCTATAGGAATGTTATCAATCAATGCAGTGAATACCCCAAAGGTGAAGTACCAGATGAGTGGAAGAGGGCTAATGTCTCCGTCTTCAAAAAGAGGAAAACCACAGGCCAGCCTGACATCAATTCTAGGGAAAATTCTGGAACAGATTATAAAGCAGTCGCAATGCAAGCACCTCACAATTCAGGAAAAACTAAAAAACGAGCATGGATTTGCCAATAGCAAGTCCTGCCAGACCAATTTGATCTCATGTTTTGATTGGGTAACCTCTCCGATAAACAGAGGGAATGTTGTAGACATCATATATCTTAACTTCTGCAAAGCTTTTTACAAAGTGCCCCATGATATTCTGATTAGCTAGCTAACTAGGCGTGGACTGAATAGAACAACTGCTGGGTGGATACACAGTTGGCTACAGAATAATATTCAGGGGTGATGATTAATGATGACTCCTCAAACTGGGAGGAGGTAACAAGTAGGATACCCCACAGCTCTTCAACATTTTTATTAATGATCTGGATCAGGGGATGCAGGGAATGCTAGTCAAATTTGCTGATGACACAATATTGGAGGGAATAGCTGGAAGTCAGAAACAGAATTCAAAATGATCTAGATAGGCCTGAGTGCTAGGCTGAAACAACAAATTGAAATTCAGCAGTGATGACTGCAAAGTATTGCACCTAGGAAAAATAAACCAAATGCACAGTTACAAGATGGAGGATACCTGGCTCAGCAATACTACAAGTGAGAAGGATCTTGGAGTCGTTGTAGATCACAGGCTGAATATGAGACAACGGTATGATGTAGCTACAAGAAAGGGAAATGCTAGTTTAGGCTGCATTAGCAGAAGTATAGTGCCCACATCCTATGATGTATTAGTTTTCCTCTGGCACTGGTTAGGCCTCATAGTGAGTACAGTGATGCCCCGCATAGCGAGGTTAATCCGTTCCGGATTAACCATTGCTATGGGGAAACATCGCTATACGGAACAGAAAACGCCATAGAAACACATTAAACTTAGTTTAATGCGTTCCTATGGCTCTAAAACTCACCGTTGTGCGAAGTTTCCCCATAGCGCCGCCATTTTCGCGCCCTTGGTAAGCGAGGGCAGGACGCGAAAACAATGCGGGTGGCCATTTTGGGTGTTCCGGCGGCCATTTTGGAACCGCCGAACAGCTGATTCCCCGACATTTACCGATTGTCGCAATGCGAGTTTTGCCCATTAGAACCATCGGTATGTGATCGCATTAGTGATCCCAAAAAAGAGATCGCTATGCGAATTCGTTGTTAAACGGTGCACTCGTTATGCGAGGCACCACTGTACTGTGTCCAGTTCTGGATACTTAGGAAGGATGCTGACAAATTGGAACAAGTTCAGAGGAGGGCAACAAGGATGATCAGGGGACTGGAAACAAAGCCCTATGAGGAAAGACTGAAAGAACTGGTTATGTTTAGCCTTGAGAAAAGAAGGGTGAGGGGAAATAGGATAGCACTTTTCAAATACTTGAAAGGCTGTCATACGGAGGAGAGATGGGATCTGTTTTTGATATCCCAGAGTAAAGGATATACTGTACAACAATGGGCTCAAGTTAGAGGAAGCTAGATTTCTGTTGAAAATCAGGAAAAATGTCCTAACTGCTAGAGCAATATAGCAGTTGAACTAGTTACTTCAAAGATGTTGAGTTCTCCAATACAGGAGGCATTCAGGAGAAATTTAGAGAATGACCTTGCAGATATCTTTTGATTTATGTTTGTGCTTTGAGCAGGGATTTTGGATTCGATGGCCTTATAGGCCCCTTCCAACTTCATGATTTTATGATTTTATTATTCTGTGATTCTAATGAGATAGTCACTATTTGCCAATCCTGAAATGGGAAGGTGTGTAGAAAAATAGTGGCTTCAGTGGTTTTTGTTAGCATTTACCTTCAGGAACAGGGAGGGAGTCTTGACCTGCCAGACTCTCTTCTATTTTTGTTCTTGACAGTACTAACCCAAAGCATCTTCTGTGCACTACTGCACTTAATGGAAACACCATATATTCTGGTTTCCATGTTAATTGCTCTTGTTTGTATATGTATAGGTTCAAAATATATATACAATTGTATCCCCTCTGTCAGCAATTATCACTATATTTAAATGGTTAGCTTTGTTTTTTACAAATAAAAAGACTACATATGAACTAATTTGCATTTCACTTTTCTGCAGTTGGGTTAACAATTTTGGACATGAAGGGCTTGGACTACTTTTGGATGTTCTTGAAAAGCTTCTTGACAAGAGACAGTAAGTAAAAAAAGCCTACTAGAATGAAGAGGGACAAAATACATTGAATATATGGTATTGGTATCGTTTGTTAACATTATATTTTTTTTTAAGGCAAGAAAATATTGATAAGAAGAATCAGCATAAACTTATACAGTGCCTCAAAGCATTTATGAATAATAAGGTAGGAGTTTCTATTCCTTCTGATATACTTTGGGCAACTTCAGTTGTTCTGGCCATGAGTGACGATTTTTAAAAATAATTATTGCAATTAGGAAATTGACGTTTGATATATAAGTTCATCTGTTTGCTATATTTTATTACTAATGCCAGAAGTGAAGAGTTAAGAATAACATAAAAGCATTTTATGAGTTACCTTGTTGATTAAAAAATTTATAAAGACTGCTGAAGACTTTGCTTTTTCTGAATTTTTAAAAGTCTTTAGAAATGCAAAAGAGGGTTACACTTTTTCAACTGAAACATATTCTGTGTTGGTACAAAAACATGAACATTTTTGGAAGAAGATACGCAGTCGCTTATCACATCCATATACAGGAGTCTATTCCTGTAATATGTAATCCCAGATCTTGAGTTTTAATGTGCTTACATTACAGATTTATTTTCTGGAACTGTATCACAAAAGCTTCAGCTTCCTGATGATAACATAGCTAGAGTAATACAGCATGAGACAGATAAATAGTGAATTATTTGTAAATTGGAGAAAGTTATTCAACTGATACATGTTAAGTTGATGGCTGGATATCTCAGTGGTTTAGGTATCCAACTGATATATGTTAAGTTGATGGCTGGACATCTCAGTGGTTTAGGTATCTGGCTGTGGAGCCGGAGGCTGGGACTCTGAGTTCCCAGTTTGTCTTCTGAGAAGTAAAGGCAGCCTGTATGGCCTTGGACAAGCCATACAGTCCCAGGGTGACCCCAGAAGAAGGGAAAGATGAACCACTTCTAAGTACTCTCTACCTAGAAAACCCGTATGTTAAGTTGATGGCTGGACATCTCAGTGGTTTAGGTATCTGGCTGTGGAGCCGGAGGCTGGGACTCTGAGTTCCCAGTTTGTCTTCTGAGAAGTAAAGGCAGCCTGTATGGCCTTGGACAAGCCATACAGTCCCAGGGTGACCCCAGAAGAAGGGAAAGATGAACCACTTCTAAGTACTCTCTACCTAGAAAACCCGGAAAATGGTCGCCATAAGTCAAAACTGACTTGACAGAACAGGTTTATTGTTAATAAGTTGATGTGTAATGAAGAAGGGAATAGCAAGTTGTCAGAGAGTAAAATATGTGTAGTGTAGTGTATTTTTCACATTGATCTTACAAATATTGTATTGATGTATCTTAACTTGTTAATTGTAGCTTAAACATGTAACATATGAAACATTTTAATTACTACATCATCTGCTTTTTTAAAATACTAATTATTTGGAAAGGCTGCCTTTTTGGAAATAGAAATACAGTGGTGCCTCGCTTAGCGATTGCTTCATTTAATGATGTATTCGCTTTGTGATGGGTTTCTTTGAGGAAATTTCCCCATCGTTTAACGATGTTCTCTGTGGGGGAATTTCACTTAACGATGTCCGTTTTTGCTCATTTAAAAGTGTCTTAAAATGTTTGAAACCTGTTTTAAATGCTTGGATTTGGTAGTGCACCTTCTGAAACATGTGCAAACTTAATTTGGTTTTGTTCTGAGTCTTCGTTAATTTTTGGTGATTTTTTGTTTTCCCCATTTAAATCCATTGATTTAAATCAATGGATTTAAAGGGGAAAAACAAAAAATCACCAGAAATTAACGAAGACTCAGAACAGAGCCAAATTAAGTTTGCATAGGTTTCACAAGGTGGACTACCGAATCCAAGCATTTAAAACAGGTTTCAAACATTTTAAGACACTTAAAAATGAGCGGAAACAGACATTGGAAAGTCATTCAAAAGCACTGAAGTGCTTTTGAATGGCTTTCCCTTGGGGGAAACATTGTTGCACTTAGCGATGTTTCCTATGGGGATTTTCACTTAAGGACGGCAATCCGTTCCCATTGGAACGGATTAACTGGTTTTCAATGCATTCCTATGGGAAATGGTGTTTCACTTAACGATGTTTTCCCATAGCGATGTTTTTTTTGGAACCAGTTAACATCGTTAAGCGAGGCACCACTGTACATTATATAATTCTTACAAAGCTGAAATATTTGGGCTGCAGTCCTGTACACAGGTGCCTGACACTATTTTCCACTGGTATTTAAAGTTTTTAAAAGCCTAGAGACAATCAAGCAATTTTCTCCAATCCCAAAATAATCGTAAGGAAGACCTCTCTGAAAAAGGCATTGTCCAAGTGGATTGCCAGTGTCAGGCTCTTTCCCAGGTAATCACCTGATTCATTTCATATGACAGAAGATACTCTTGAGCAGAGACTCCATGAGGATGTCAAGGTCCAGGGGATTATATGTGGGAGAAGGCGAAATGTCAGGTATTCTGGTATCCAGCAACGAACGTCTTTAAAGATTAAAAATAGCGCTTAAAATTTAGGATAAAAATTGACTTTGAATGATTTGTCACATTTATCTCAAAATTTTAATATGTCAAAAACTTTTATACAGCACTATATAATGGGATCATACAGATATAAACTGTGGATGTGCTGAAATGAATTTCCTTTTAACAAGAGGTGAAAATATTTTGAGATGTGTGGTAAACATTCTGTGTAAATTTCCATGTAATACATTCATTCATCCATTTATTCATTTATTTCTTAGTATGGACTGCAAAGAATTCTAGGAGATGAAAGGAGCCTTCTTTTACTTGCCCGAGCAATTGATCCAAAGCAACCAAATATGATGACAGAAACCGTAAAAATACTATCTGCTATTTGCATTGTTGGTGAAGAAAATGTGTAAGTAGTATATATCACTCTTGTGATAGTCAGTATGCATTCACTTCTCTCTATTTTCATTCATTTCTTTTCCTTTGGCAGTACAATGCCAAACGGGACTGTAAGAACCCTGCTATAGTTCCATCACCCTCCTTTTCATAGTAAATAAGGTTTTGTTCTGCTTCTAAGATCAGAGCCTTGCAATAGCAGTTGCTTGGATACAACAGCTGTAAAAAAACTGTTGTCCTCCTCTCTTCTTTCTGGATGTATAAGTATCTCAGTAGCTGCTCTGGGAATTGATGCTGGATTAAATCAGTTTTCCATTAACATTGGACACATTTGTAGGATTACCCTTTGTTTTTCATTTCATTCACAAGCCTGTTTACCAAATGACAATATAATTAACAACTTTTATATTTTGTTCATGTCAGCTAAAAACCTGTGTGTTTGATTTAAACTGGGTATGAATCAAAGAGCATTGTAGAAGAGAGACTATTAACAATAGGACTCTAGTATAATTTCCAGATCAAATTACTGTTTGCCAAAATGAAAGATCAATCTCATAGTGTAAAAAACTGTAATTGGCCTTATTATCTCCCCAGCATTTGGATATCATCATTTACCTGAATTCTAAATAATACTGTTAATGAGCCAGCATCTTTTTGCAACTGCTCAATTGCTCCCATTTGGTTCCCTCCCTTCTTTTGGAAGTGTGTAAGCAGTAGACTTTCATTTGTAGTTGGCCAAAAATGATGGCTGAATCAAAAAATCTAGCTTGTCTCTCTCCTGATAAACCAGAGGTATCAGTGGGTGTTTTTTGTTTTGACTAATGTATGTCTTGTCAGTGGAGATGTTTGCACATCACACTGGAGATACCACACATAGTAGTTCTGTGGCTTGATTGGCTGTTCTAATTTGTGGTGGGAGCAGTTTAGCAGTGCATACAAGTACATTGCTATTTATTTTTATTTATTTATTTATTAAATTTATATCCCGCCCCTCTAGACCATGTCTGCTCGGGGCGGCTTACAACATAAAATATATCAATATAAAAAAATATATAATCATAAGAAATACAATTACTATATTAGTTAAAAACAATTAATTTAAGAATTGTATAAATAAAAAGGGTTCTTCTCTTCAGGAAATAGGACCAAAGACTTCCTCTCTGTTCTTTTAAATCTTTCTTTGTTGCATTTAAAATTCATTGCCTATAAATGGAAAAGAAATGTATTTCTTTTTACAATTCTGAAAGCTGAAGTACATGCATGTATTATATGTGTAGAGTTAAAATGTGACGTTTCTGTTTCAGTCTGAACAAAATTTTAGAAGCCATAACAATTGCAGCTGAGAGAAATAATGTGGAACGGTTCTCTAATATTGTAGAGGGGCTTGAGAACCACGAAGCTTTGCAGTTACAGGTAGAATTTTTCAGTTTATACTATTCTTTGTTCTAATAAACAGCATACAATGAGCAATGGTGTAATAAGTGATTTCAAAAAGTATTAAGTTGGAAATGGCTGGATAAACTACTGCTCTCAGTTGTTTAATGAAGAGCCTGATATTTTCTTAAGTTCCATGCAGCTGCATTTCAAATGGCACAGTCCTCTCTCCCAGCTTGCTAGCAAGAGAGTATTAAGAAATTCATGGGCCAATTTATGGTGTCTCAAAGATTTGCACGTGTTTTATGTATTTTGCAACCCTTGGCTTAGCATGACCTCTATTCGGATTTCATTCACTGGTACATGACATTGAAGGGTCTTGTTATTTGTGTATGAATGATGGAGGCTGCAGCATTTTCTGCTTAAGATGTTTCTCCAACTGAATAATTCTCAAGGCTTGGATAGTATAAAAATTAAAATTGTCAGATGGCTTCCCCCTCTCATGTATTGGGTGTATTGGCTTTGAATGATGATAAAGATAAAATCAAATCTTGGAATATCATATTTTGAATAAGATAATGATTCAGTTCGTGCCTTCTGCCCTGAAAGGTTAGGGCCATAAAACAAGAATGTTTTTTTGTAATGTTGACATGATGATACGAACCATTCTGAGTGGTAGAAAAAACCAAAAGGAAAGATTATGTTCCATAAAAGGTCAAAGATATGCTGCAGTGGCATCCTTTTTCTTTGGTGATTGCCAAGCTATATTACTAACAGTGTGATTACTAAGTTTCTGTTCTGAAGGTGGTGGAAACTATAAAATAAAACTTACTTTCATGACCTGGATGATCCTAATATCTCCAGGTAATAAAACTGGTGTATAAAAATGTCAAGAGAAGATTGTGTACAAATCCAAGATAATACCCAAAGTGATAAATACAATACAATGCTTAGCCCTTATATTTGGTTGTATTTTTTTCATACATCTTGCATCTTTCTCTTTACCATTTTGCTTCATCTTTTAAGGGGGCCACTGATAAGTTACTCAGTTAATACACCCTTTGACACTTTTGTCGGTGTCCTTAGCCCTTGTGTCAGATTAAAGAGTAAATTACTTTAACTTAAAAATACAACTTGAATAAGAGTGACCTCAATACTGGCAGCATTACATATGCTGCTTATGTGATATAATCAGTTATACTGATGTCACAGTGAATCCCTTTTAAAGACTTTTGTGATTTTTATGATGTCTCTGATCTAAACACCTTGACCAACTGCAAGACTCATTAACTCCTTTCTGACTGGAATGTTCTCTTTACCAGTAGTAATACAAGCAATTAAGCTAAAATATCTTCTGGCAAAAACAGTCATGGCAGATGGCAACTTTTCTGTCTATTAACTTCTGATTGGACATGTACTTTGGTTTGTTCAGTCATGTCATAGTTATAACAGGGATCATTCATGCAAGCATAACGACAATGTCACAGGCATTTATGTCAGTGTAAGACTTTACCTGCCTGCAGCATTTTTATAGAAAATGAACAAGGCACAACTCGTACATATAATTTTACACAGAGAATAAAGGCACTTGAGAGATACAAATACTGTCTTCCCTGTTGTAAATAATTGATTAATAATTTGCTTGAAATATTATTTGTTAATCGTCTTTTTACTAAACCTGTTCCTTTTTACTACATAGTTTTATCTGACTCAGTGATTGCAGTGTCAGTGTCACTATAATGGCTGAAAACCTGTTGCTTAAGTATAATAAACCACACTATAGTAGACCTATTGAATCTCCTCAGTAATTTCCATTGATTCAAATGGGCCTAGTCGAGTTGTGGCTTACTTCAGTGTAGTAAGTCACAACTAGAGTAGGCCTATTTGAATCACTTAAACTTATGGAGGAATTGACTCACCAAATCCCCACTGATTCAGTGGGCCTACTGTAATGTGACTTGCATTAAGCAACAGGATTTCAGCTGACATCTGTTACTTTACCAGCAGCATTTTGCTGTAATGCACTGCACTTGATGCACACTTTTTAGAGGTCAGACTAAGTAGGATACATTATTGGCAATATAGTTTTATGGTGGTATACATCACTGTGTTCCATAAAAAGAGGTTTTCGGTTAGACTGTACATTTCTTTATTTAGGAAGTTTTCTGCAATGTTTATTGCTTGTGTGCATTGGGTAGGCTGCTTCTAATAAGCTACTTTTACCATAATTTCTGATTACAGGCAGCCTGCATGCAGTTCATAAATGCCCTTGTCACTTCTCCTGAAGATCTTGATTTTAGGATACACTTGAGAAATGAATTCTTGCGCTGTGGATTAAAGAAAGTATTGCCAGTAAGTTATTTGCTGAAAAACTGCAAATACTTTGAGTACGGTGATTGCTTGCTTCTTGATTATAAATCTGGTAGTCTTGTAATGTTGCAGTTAAGACTAGCTTTAATATTTTTTAATCATTTTAAAATGGGAGCTTGTTGCAGAGATTATTAAATGTTTGATAATGGAAATTCTTTCTAATTTCTTGACTAGTGATTGGTTATATTCACTTTTATTGATCTAGGGAATTTTTGGTGGCTATTGGATTAATACATTTATTATGTGTGGGGCTAGTCATAAATCCAAACTGAATCATTTTGCTATATGGTACGACTGTATTTTAGGCTACTTAAGATGACCTACAAGAAATAGTAATCAAGATAAGAATATCAAAGCAGTTCACAAAATGATAAATAGTTTGTTAAAAAAACCTCCAAGATTAAATATATATATATTTAATAATGAAGATATATTAAACATGAAATTAGTGTATTGTGCTACTTACATCTACTCTGTGGAACTCATTACATTTAAAAACACCATAAAACTAAAACTAAGCAAAGCTACTGCTGCTGTGTCTCCTAAAATAGCATGGGAATTAAAACTTGTATTACTAGGGACAAGAGAAAAAACATACTGTATGAAGGGAGTGACTTGTCTACTCCAGAGTTCATATAGAATTGTTCAGTGGTTAAGAGTTGGAGGTGCCAAGTAAATTAAGGATCCATGCTAGTGGTTTTTGGAACATGTTTTGAATATCATTAGAACTTGAAAAACCCAAACCAACTCAAATGGTTGGATGGTTTTATATTCCGCCCACAACACTGGTGGTATACAGTGTAAGGAACTATGTTGGTAGCATTGCAGCCATAACTGTTGATGGTCTTAGCTGATTATGATGATTAATTATGAACATGATGCAAAGGAGGGAAGTTGCTCATTTAGATGTTACTTGTTAGCTGTATTGTTAAACCATTATAAAATCATGTTAGACTTGATAGCAACACCTAGTTTTCATCTTTGAGCTCTTTGTTGCAGTGAACGATAAGTGTGTTCTCCTTACCATATAAATAGCTATGAAACTGACTGAGAAGATATGCAGATGATATCATCTTATTAGCAGAAAGCGACAATGATCTGAAACAACTTTTTGTGAAAGTGAAAGAAGTGCCAAAACACATGGACTTAATAGTCATGACAAAAATCATGACTCTAGAACTTTAGCATTGACAGTGAAGAAACTTTAATATTCTGATTTTGAAACAAACTGATTTTTTATACCCTGATTCAATCATCAATCCAAATGGAGACTGCAGCCAAGAAATCAGAAGTCTGAGAATAGGAAGGGCAGCAATGAAGGAATTAGATAATATCATCAAGTGCAAGGAGGTGTCACTGGAGACCAAGACCAAGATTTCCACTCTCTTGTATTTCTGATAACTGTATATGAGTGTGGAAGTTGGACAGTTAAGAAAACTGACATGAAAAAAGAAGATTTGTTTGAAATGGAGGAGAGCGTTGTGGATACTACAGAGTGCCAGAAAGAAGAACCAGTGGGTCCTAGATCAGCTCGAGTCTGAACTTTCTCTGGAGGCAAGAATATTGAAACTGAGGCTTTCCTACTTTGGGCACATCATCAGAAGACTGGATTCTCTGGAAGAGATACTAATGCTGGGAAAGGTGGAAGGTAGCCGGAAAAGAGGTAGACCAAATATGAGAGGAAGTGATTCCCTAAAGGAAGCCATAGGCTTGAGTTTACAAGAGCTGGGCAGGGCAGTTCAGGACAGGGCATTTTGGAGATCACAGTAAGTCGCAATAAGTCAGAGGTGACTTGACAGTAAATTACATTGCAGCAAAAAGTCAAAGACAACAGAGAAGGCTTAATTGTCTGGGTATGTGTCCTCAAGTGCTGCTTCAGATATCAGTCTTTATTTTTGCTACTGCTTGTTCCTCACCAGTATGAGTCACACACAGATATTTTTAAAAAACTCATTTCTTTGCTTAATTTAATGCCTTTGCCATTTATGCAAAATAAAAACAAGATTCAGTTTTGACTTTTAAAAAAATCTGTTATATAGCTGGACAATGTATATACCTAATTACTTGCTCAGAAAAGGTTGATTTGCACGTTGCTCAGCTCCAGAAACAAGCCAAAAGCTGAAAACAAAGTCTTCTAAATGGTATTAGATGTGTTATTCAGGATCTATTCTTAAACTGTATAGATTGTAGGAATGGAAATACGTATTACAAGCAAGTGTTCCTTGCAGCATCAGCCTTTTGCATTTTAACATCTGGCTATAATTTTTCACAACACTTTCCCATAACACTGAATGCTTGGCATTTAATCAAACTACTGCAGTAACTGAAATATGGTCCAGTGGGGAGATTTGAAACTTTATCACCTGTTTTTCTTAGAAATTTCAGTGTTTTAAAATATTATGACCTTAGTACCCTTGTGTATTATTTCATGGCCAAAAATAGGAAATACATTATTTCAATTTAACCAGTATGACCTTCTTTAAGGATTTTTTTTTTTACACAGACCTCCACCTCCTGTCTTGAACAGAATAAAAGAATGCTTTAGTGAGGTGATTGGACCATAGTTACTATGTGCAAAGCTGGTATAGGACATTTTTGAAGACTTTCAAATTTGCAGTCTTGAAAAACAACTACAGTGGTGACAGTTTTTTCGCTAGACATTGACTTTTTGCGGTTGCTATAGTGATTCGCAAAACAGTGATTCCTATGGGGGAATTTCACTGGACATTGTTTGGTCCCTGCTTCGCAAACCAATTTTCGCTAGACGACGATTTTGACAGCTCCCTCCGCACTCGCAAAACAGTTGTTTTTGGGACCTAAGCGTCGCAAGACAGCTATTTAAACAGCTGATTGGCGGTTCACAAAGTGGCTTTCCTATGGCCGATCTTCGCTAGACAATGACAATTCCTCCCCATTGGAACACATTAAACAGGTTTCAATGCATTCCAATAGGGAAATGCTTTTCGCTAGACAATGATTTCGCTAAACAGTGATTTCAGTGGAACGGATTAACATTGTCTAGCGAGGCACCACTGTACTAGATAAATAGCTGTATAAATACCAGGTACCACTTATGTGCAAAACTAGTTAGTTCAAGACTGCAACAGATCTATTTTGGAAGTTAGATATCTGGTTCATTGCCTTCTCATTTCCCAGTCTGAATATGCAAACAGGACTTGTAAAATAGTGAAGTGTTCTTGTATAAGGCTCCAGCCAGTTAGTGAGAAAATTTCTATGACATTTCAGATCTTCTCTGCAACCTATGTTTCAAACCATAAGCAATTTCAAACATGTTTATCTTTGGCCAGTAATCTGGCCTTTCTCATTAGATTACTCATAAACATGTTCATACCCACTCATATGCCGAAACATAGGTTGTTGGGGGAAAAATTTCATAGAAATCCTCTTGTTAGAGGGTTTCATTACAGCGAGAATCAGTAGGGTTTTTGGCAAGCTCCTGAAACTGACCGAATCCCCTCGGTTCCAGCCCTCCCAAACTGGAGGGGGGGGAGAGGATGGTTTGCTAGGAAAAGAGGTGTCTTAAAGCAGCATAGATGACAGAAAGGAGGAATTGAATCAGCAGTGGCTGATTCCCTCTCCAAAGTTGCATCTGAGTGCATAGACCAAGGAGGAAGCCATTTTGGCAAAGAGCGAGGAACACCCCAAGCAGAGAGTGAGAGAGCACAAAAGGATGTTGGAAATATCTCTACCGGAGACTCTGAGTAAGGTAAAATATTTGTTCATGGAAGGCAAATCTCCATGGACCCAAATAACTAAACAGAAAAGAGATAGATATAAAGAGTCAGCAAAATGGACTTTACCTTTAAAAAAAATCTTACTGTCATGGTAGAAATGTACCTCCCCCGCCCCTGGCTTGAATTGGGAGAAGAAGAGGAGAGAGGAGAAAAAGAGAGAAGGGGGAGAAAACTACCTTGTTACAAAAGGAGATCAATCTAAGATAAAAGCCTCACTCCTGTGACTATCTGAAATATTGATATCCAATCCTATTTAGTTCAAAGCATTGCAGATCCTTTAAATTGTTATTGGTGACTGTAAGAACATTTAACTCTGAAGGAAGCTCCACCCCCTGCTAGATCAGACATCTTAATAAGACTGAAAAACAAAAGTAAGGTTACAGTGACATCTGCTGACAGAAGACTTAAACAGTGCCTTCTATTTACTTAATTTAAGAAGAAGGTGGGAAATCAATATCGCAACAAAAGGTGGAAAAGAGAGAATTCAAAGAGGCTCATCGGCACAATATCTCAGTGGAGTATTGGGGCAAGAGTCATTTAAGGACTGGCAACAGAGCACAGTGGTACTCATTTTACAAACTTAATCCGTATTGGAATAGCATTTGTACGTCAAAAAGTTCATAAGTTGAGGCAAGCTTTCCCATAGAAATGCATTGAAAACCATTTAATCTGTTCAGGCTGTTTTTTGTTCGTATGTCAAGGCGCTGTTCGTAAGTAGAGGCATTAGTTCCCATACGAACTAATGCAAAGCCGGTTAATCCGTACTCTACCACTAGGGGGAGAATTTTTTTAGTTTTTCTTCTTTTGACCTAAGATGAACTTAGGTCAAAAAAAGGGCAGGAAAGGTTTTTTTTTGTTTGTTTGTAAGTCAAGGCTCAGTTTGCAAGTCAAAGCAACATTTTGGAAACGGAGCTGTTCGTAACTCGAAACGTTCGCAAGTGGAGATGTTTGTAAGTTCGAGGTACCACTGTATCCAAGAGATGCTATCTACAGGGTTACAGCAACTACAAGGAGGAATGGCTCAGCTATGTGTACTAATGAGAGGCTTAGGGATGCAAATGACTGATATTAAAAATCAAATTACAGAAAATAAAAAAAGAAATAACCAGAATAGCTGAGACATCAAAAAGATCAGAAGAAAGACTGGTGATCATGAATACAGTGGTGGAAGAACTAAAACAGGAAAGAAAGCAAGATGAAATTGCTCTGTTAAATCTACAGATGGAA